TGAGACCCTCCTACCTCAGCCTCCTGAGTAGCTGGGATGATCAGCACCTGGCATTTTATGAAGATATAAAATATTTTCTTGAATGTTACGCTGTTTTTCTAAAAACAAGCCAAAAAAAGGGAAAGATTTTGGAATTCCACTGAAGGGACTTGGAGGTTGCTCCTAATAACAAGTGAAAAGCTAAATAAACTGGATGCCAACAACTCTTCTTCGATGCGTCAGAGATCTGAGCTCAGAGGACTAGTCATTGCCTTCAATACTGGAGAAACAGACTGGTGAAAACGGGGAAGCACAACCTCCCAGAGCAGAAACCCGTAAGCAGAACCTCCGGGGGAAGCTGCACCCAGGGAGGAAAACCTAAACTACACCGACATCTTGCTGGAGGTTGAGTGTGCATGAGTCTAGGAGTCAGAAACTTGAGCGGCCCAGGACAGAAGGCTGGGCCCACACCTCTGAAAGTCCTACCTCATAAAGACTGAAGAGAGAGCCCCGCATGAGAAAGAAGAGCAGTCATGAGCATTCTGCTCTTCAGCAGCACTGCCCCAAGAGAAACTATTCTACCACCACCTAAATTAGTGGGTTTTACTGTTACAGAAAACAGACCAAACACAGGAAGAAGCAGCACGGAGGAGGTTGAGGAGGCAGTTAGTATGCCAGGCGGCTGCTGACTAGGATCTCTCCCAAGGAGGCAGAGCCACCTGGCAGGGTTTAGGGCTTTTGAAGGGAAAGTGAGCAGGGAGGTATATAGACCAATTTGGCGCATATGATTGGAGGGTTGGGTGACATCATGGGTTGCTGAGGGAGTCTGAATATCTCAAGTTACATTGCAAGGCCATCAGTTACATAAAGCATGGCTTTACAAAGGAAAAAATGTTCTGTTATCAGGTTTGCCAGACATGGCCACTTGGTCAAGGCAGGCATCCTGGACAGGGTTTTATTTAAGATTTTAACTTCCTCCTTCATTATCACATTTTAACTGACCCCTAGGCCAGCCAGCTCTAGCCCTCTCCAGCCTTCCACACAGCAGAGGGGAAATAACTAACAATCACTCCTTCCAGCCATTCTGTCCTGCCTAAAAGGAAGGGACCACCAAGAAGCACATGTGCAGGTGATAGTCCAGGGCGCGGTGCACCTTAGTCTGATATGCACTCCTTCCCCTCCTACCACATCTCACTACCACATTACTAAACGCCTTCTTAGGGCAGTTCCTTTATCCAGGACATTATTTCCAGCTCATAGCAAAGAATTCCAAGTCATACTGAAAAGCCAAAACCACAGTTTCAAGAGATGCAGCAAAAGTCTGAATCAGACTCTGATATGACAGGGATGCTGGAATCACCAGGCCAGCAATTTAAATAACTATTATGAATATACCAAGGGCTCTACTGGAAAAAAACAGACAACGTACAGGAACAGATGAGTAATGTAAGCAGAGAGAGAGAAATTCGGAAAAAGGAATCAAAAGAGAAATGCTTAACATGAGAAACTGCTATGATGGAAATGAAGAATGCCTTAGATGGGTCCATTAGTAAATTGGACATGGCTGAGGAAGGACCCTTTGAGCTAGAGGATATATAACAAGAGAACCTTCTAAAACTGAAAAGAAAAAAAACCAATAAAATATACGAGACATATGGAACAACTACAAGAAGTATAAATACATGTAATAGTGAGATAGAAAAGAAAAAGGCCCAGCCCTTCTCTTCCCTCTGATAGCCAGGAGATAGGATCTGCCGTACCCCTCTGCATCACTCTCTCTCGCCTCCTCAAGGGGGGCCTGGGACGTAGTGCCAGCCCAGAGTCTGCTCTCCATATTTGTAGTTACTTCGACGGCTACCCTCGAGGCTGAGCTGATGTGAGCCGGTCTGGCTGACACCCACCCAGCCCCTCTCCCATTCCAGGCTTCTCCAGGAGCCTCTGCCACCCGTCTGAGACAGTGGAGGACCACACCTCACAGAGCAAAGACTGGAGAGGGACAGTGGGGAGCCACTGATAACCCCCAGGCCCCCAAATCCCAGCGGGCCACGAGACTCCTAAGCAGCTCCTTGAAAGCAGCAGCAGTAGTGAATTCAGCCCAGACATTTTTATAGAAACAAGTGAGCTGTCAGTCAAGCACTGCTTCTCTCAGCGTTTGGGAAGCTGCTGCCATGATAGCTGTGGCATCCTAGAGGCCCCACACCACTCCAGAAATAGTTGCCTTAGCCCCAAAATCGTGATGCACAGACCTATATGAGATGACTCCGCCCTGCAGTACTCCTGATGACTCTGCCCTATGACCCCCAGATGATTCTTCTTCCATCTTACTCCAAAAGTCCTCATATAAGTCTGGAACATGCACGAAACTGCACATGCATGAGCCGCTCCTGCTTTGTGTACTCTGCACTCCTTCACACTCCTTAGGAAAGCTGAGGAGGGCTCCCTCCTGTGAACTACCCTCTGTGCTGCAGCAAGAGTTCCAGTAAAGTCTCGCTCCTGTGGTCCCACTGTCTGTTTGTGATTCTCATCCCAGGTAGAGTGGGATGAGTGAGTTGCACTAACAAGAGCTTGTAACACAAGGGGCTACCGGCCCTGAGGAGTTCTGGAGACCAGTGGCAGAGAGCAGTGGACACTGGTGGTTGGCGGGAACAAGTGGTGGAGACCAGCAGTGACAGGTGGAGATCAACAGAGACCAGCATAGATCTGTGATGGCCTGTGGACAGCCCCAGTGAGGCGCATAGCCATGAAGAGGGGAATGAGCTGGGCTGCAGAAGAGCTGACTGGGTGGGGAAAGCCTGCACCAGCTGTAACACTCAGAGCTGTAACGCTGAAGGCTGAGAGCCACTGGTGCTCAAATCCACAGCCACTGATGTCAAGGGAGCGGCACTGTGCTGACTCATGATTTTCAAGCAAATTCAGCAAAATAATCCTCAGCCAACTGGGGACACTAGGAATACCAAAAGAAGAGGAGAATGAACAGAAGCAATATTTGAAACAAATGTTTCTGAGAATTTCTCCAGATTAGTATCAGACACCAAACTACAGGTCCAGGAAGCTCAGAGATCACTACATAGAAGAATGCCAAAGCAAATACTGAAAACACTACATGCAGGTATATCATATTCAAACCACAGTAAAGAAAAAATCCAAAAGAGTCTAGAGGAAGTGGGGCTGGGGATTTAGCTCAGCAGCACAGCGCCTGCCTGGCAAGCGCAAGATCGTGAGTTCGATTCCCGGTACCAGAAAAAAAAAAAATGTTCTTTGGGCTGGGGATTTAGCTTGGCGGCAAAGCACTTGCCTAGCAAGCGCAAGGTTATGAGTTTGATTCCTGGTACCAGAAGAAAACAGAAAAAAAAAGAATCTAGAGGAAGAAAAAATGCCCCACATACAGAGCAGAAAAGATAAGTGCTATATCCAACTTCTCAGAAGTTATCCAACAAGAAGGGAGTACAGTGAACTATTTAAAGTGTTAAGAAAAAATGCACCAATCCAGAATTCTATATCAGAAGTGAAGGGGAAACAAAGATGCTTCCAGATAAAATCCTCCATTGAAGTTACAAACATGAGAAAAAATAATGAAAGACAAAAATCAAGTTCAAACAATAAGAGCAACAAGTAGAGAACAGTAACAAGTGTGGTAGATACTAATGTGTATCCATAATCACTTTAAACACCGGGATTCTAGGAACTCCAAAGAAAAGTGACGTTAGAGTAGGTAAAAGAAAACAACCAACTATATGTTGTCTGTAATAAACCCACTTCAAATATAGGTTAAAAGTAACAGAAAAAGATATGCCCTACTAAGACTAATTAAAAGGGAGCAGGAGTAGTTAAATTAATTTAAAACAGCAGATTTTAGATTAAGTAGTTATCAGGAATAAAGAGGGAGACTGCATAATAATTAAAGGGTCAGTTCTCCAGGAAGACTTGAAAATTCTTGATGTACATGTGCCTAACAGCAGAGCATTGAAGTATGTGACCAAAAACTAATAAACTATAAGAAATAGATGAATCCGTTTTTGCAGTTGGAGACATTAACACCACTCAGTCAGTAACAAGCAAATTCAAAAGGCAGGAAATCAGTAACAATGTATTTGTGCCAGGTGTGGTGGTACATGCCTGCAATTCCAGCACTCGGGAGGCTGAGGCAGGAGGATTGCTGCGCGTTCAAGGCCAGTCTGGGCTATAAAGTCAGTTCAAGGCCACCCTGAACTGTATAGGGAAACCCTGTCTCAAAAAGACAAAAAAAATATATATATTTGAACTCAATAGCACCATCAACTAAAGATACTGGACATCTATAGACTACATCATCCAATAACAATAAAATACACATTCTTCTCAAGCTCATATAGGATATTCATCAAAAGAGACCACATTCTGAACCATAAGATACATGGAATCTGTGCCCAGTGTTACATACCTATAATTCTAGCTGATTGGGAGCCTGAGGCAGGAGCATTGCAAGTTCAAGGCCAGCCTAGTAAGACCCGTCTCAAAAAGGACAGGAAGTGGGTGTCCTGGGAACACAACCCAGTAGGAGAGCAACCCTGGGTTCAGTTCTCAGAACTAGGGCAAGAAAATCTAAGCAAATTGAATAGTAAAAATCATACAATATCAGCTCCCAGGCCAGAATGGAATTAAAATAGAAATTAGTAAGCGATAGCTAGAAAACCCCAAACTATTGAACTATTAGAAAACATAGTTCTAACACATAGAACAAAGAAGACAAAGAAACAACACTGGGAATGTAGCTCTGGGGGCAAACGCTGGGGTGTCTCACTGCTGTGGGAAACCCAAACCAACCAGAAACCAAATGTGAGATGCCACTGCAGTATCACCTAAGGTACCAACACATGCATTAGGAGAAATAGAGATGCATGTGGCAGACATTATTTGGAGAAATAAAGGTTACAAAGAGTCTCACTTTAATGGAAGCCCTAGACAGACAGAGCAAAGAAAATCAACAAGTTTCACACAATCTATACACCAAGAGATCCGCACTGGGGGTTGTGTGGGGAACATGCCCTGTGAAAGAGGCTCAGGTAAGGGGACCAAAGGAAGTGACCTCACTTCCTGGATGATGGAATAGAACCTGGTAGCCAGGCACCCACATTTCAAATGTAACAGTAGCCAGCTCACTTGTCAGTTGACACAGAGGAGAGCGGGATGTTCACGCGTTGTCTTCCAGTAGGCCGAGTCCCAGGCCTCAGGAAATCGCCAAGTGGGGTCCACCACCGTGTGTGGAGATGGCGGACCAAGCCTCGCCTCAGGAGCCTGTGGCCACGTTCCTGGAGAAGAGAAAATGCAGCACACAGCAGCCCAGAGCAGGTAAGCACTGACCCTCCAACCACTCTCAGCCTACCAGGGTGACCCTGGACACCTCCCGGGGCGGATGAGGTGAGGTGTGGTGTCAGGTGGTGTGGTGTGGTGTGGCTGGCGATGGTGTTGAAGCTATAATTTTTGTCCCTGTAAGTGAAATATTCTGTTATGTCTGAGCAGGGCCACCAAGATGCAAAACTGTCACAGCTTGACAAATTGCCTTTGTTCTTCTGCCTGCCCACAAGTCTCATGCCAAGGCCAACCACCTTGACCAAATATATAAAACTGAAAACTGTCGTTTGTCCTTTGCTCAGCCATTTTGGGTTTATCAGTCAATCTGATGTACACCTAAAAATAAAATCCTACTGTTTCCCATTAGGTCTTTCCTGTGTGTTAAATCCTGCAACATTTCGGTGTAATGTGGTGTGTTGTGGTATGCTCTATTCTGGTGTGGTGTGTGGTGTGTGCTGTGTGGTGTGTGGTGTGTGGTGTGTGTATGTGTGTGTGTGTGTGTGTGTGTGTGTGTGTGTGTGAATAGCCAGGAAAACTGGATTGCACTCCTTTCACTTCAGCGTGCGGCCCTGAGTGACCTTGCAGTTTGTTAGTGTTTCGCTCTTTGACTCCTCCTGCCGCCTTGGTCCTGCCCAGGGTGAAAATCAGCTGTTCCTGAACCAGGAAGAGCCCCTCCGCGTGGGGAGCCTCGGGACAGCCTCGCGGCACCTGGAGAAGATGGTGAACCGCCTGGTGCCCGCCCTACTGAGTGGGGACCCCTGCTTTCTGTCCAGCTTTTTGCAAAGCCACCGCAGGTTTGGCACCACGCTGCAGGCGCTGGACCTCCTGTTCACAAGGTTGGTGTCTCCCAGTGCAAGGCTGGGGAATGGGGCCACGACCTCCTGTTAGGTCTTGGGAGCACCCTGACCATTAGTACGTACACGGCGCCTAATCGAGGGGGAAACACAGGAGAAGCCCTTCCTGGCCCCCCCTCCTTTGGGCAGTCAGCCTGTGTGACCCAACCTCCTAGGTAGGTGTCACGGAAGAGACATCCTCATGGCCTCCCCTAGGTACGGCTGCATCCTGCCCTACTCCAGCGAGGACGGATGTGCTCAAGACCCAGTGAAAAAGTGAGTCAAGGGGGAGGGCTGTGAGTCCAGAAGGAGGGCTCCTGTCTCCTGAGTGGGGACTCAGGGGCTGCTGCGCTGGGGAGGGCTGAGCAAACCCCGGGTCGTCCCTGTGGTTCTCGAGAAGGGGCCAAAGTCCCGGCATCGTCTATGGGAGGCCAAGGACAGAGAGGAGCCGGCGGGGCTCCCGGGATGCTGGGAGCAGTGGGGAGGCTGAGGCTTCGAGCCAGGCCCTCTGAGGGTCTAGAGCAACCACGGCCTCTCCGAGCTGGGCTAGCCCTGTTCCCTGAGCGGGGACACAAAGCTTGAATGGGAAGCAACCCACTCAGCTTGTGCCCTGGGCATGCGGCGAATGCAGGGGGTTGCTGCGCCCTTTGGAGAAGCCTAAGTGGGAAAACAAGACCCACCGGGGGCCCACAGAGATGAGAGGGAGCCTAGCAGCCTGAGCCTCGGATTGAGGTGCCACGGGGCTCCTCTAGATGCCAGGCAGGAGCACCAAACCCCCTGGAGTTCCAGTGGGCGGGCGGCCTGGGCTGGAAAGCAGTGTGCAGGGCTTCCCTGAAGAAGGGGAGAGTGGACCCCACAGCTGATCCAGCTCCCCACCCCATGCTGGAGGTTGCTCTGCCACCTGTGCCTGCTGAGTCGGCCTGCCGCTGCCTGCAGAGCCAAAGGGGCACGGCCTGGGCTGGGCTGACCTCTGCATAGGCGTGAGAGATCTACGGGCAGCCCGGCCCTCACAGGGGTGGCAGGGAGGCCACGCTGCAGGGTTGGTCAGGCCCCTGACTCTGCTGCCCTTTGCCTGCCCCCAGCGCCATGTCCATCATCCTGGGCACCTGGATGGAGCAGTCCTGGCATGACTTCTGGGAACCTCCTGACTTTCCCAGCCTCCAGCTGGTGCTGGCTTATGTGCAGCTGAGCATGCCTGGCTCGGACCTGGAGCACCACGCCCACTTCCTCCTGGCCCAGCTGCAGGACACGGAGCCCAGCAAGGCTGAGCCTGAGGGTGAGGGGTGCTGGCTGGGAGCAGCAGAGCAC